TTTATGTAAAATGAAATGTAATTCTTTTGATTTTTTTTCCAAGACAGAGTTTCTCTGTGTAGCTCTGGCTGCCCTGGAACTCACTTTGTAGACAAGACTGGCCTTGAGACCCTCCTGACTCTGCCTCCTGATTACTGGGATTAGAGGTGTGCCACCACTACCCACTTGTTTCTTTTGATTTTTTAAAAAAATATATTTTATATTATATCTGTGTGAATGTATGTGTACACATGCACTTAGGTGCCTGTGGAGGCAAGAAGTTGGATCCCTGAAAGTGGAGTTAAAGCAGTTATGAGCCACTTAATATGGGTGCTGGGGACTTAATTCCAGTTCTCTGAAAGAGCGGCGAGTGCTCTTAACTGTGACCTGTCTCTCCAGCCCCTCTATTTATTTATTTAATGCTGAGACCTGTTGCCACACCCGAGTTCCATGCCCACACCCACACGGTAGGATGGAACCAGTTCTCACAATCGCTCTTTGACTTCTACATGTGCATATTAGTAACTTCCTTTTCAACTTGCAAACGGCAAAGTTAGACGTTTTCTCTCAGACCCGGTCGATGCCATCCTAATTACTGAAGCACCTTCACTGTATGGCAGCGATTGCAGTATCCACAAGTGTTCCCGGCATGGTGGCACTGTCAGTGATCCTAGCACTCGGAAGTCTGAGGCAGGACTATTGTAGTGAGTCTGAGGCCAACCTAGGCTGCATAGTAAATCCTTCTCTCAAAAACCAAACACACAAATGCAAGCCCAGTCCTGTGTTGACTTGTTCTCCTAACTGTGTTATCTGAACTTTGTACATATTCCTCTCCGGAGCCATGTTGGGCTTTCCCATGCACTATCCAGGTCTTCTTCCTGAGCTCTTCCACCTTTCAATTCATCGTTGTCCTGTGAGCACTCGTACTTGTCTAAGCACAAGTGTTTTGTGTCAGTCCTCGTTGAAAAGCCCCGAATGAAAATGGATGGAGCGAATGGTGGAAGTCGAACGAGGCCAGCTTGTGTTTGGGAAGTTTCTGAGGGCGACATTGATGTGACAGAGGGCATTGTCTTGCCTGGATCATTCCGGTAACAGTGGGCAAATGAAACTGGGAGACAGAGCTGGGGATCGAATGTGCATTGCTGATAGACATGAAAGAGGTCTGTGCCTGCCAAGAAACACTACCTTTCTGAGAGATTTGCAGGGTTAATTAGTAGAATTCTTCAACTCATTCAGAAATTGCAGAGCTTAAAATTCAAGCAAGAAGGCAATTTTGTTAAAAGGTTAGTGGTTTGGTTTAAATGTCAGATTGGTGCCTGGAACACAAAGGTGTGTCTGTGTCTGGGAAGTATTGCTGGGTCATGTGATCATATGGGAACATCTAAGCTTTGGGCCCTGTCCTGAGGAACGCAGGACAGACAAATCCAACAAACCCCTCTCCCAGCTACTATTGTAAACGTGAAAGACTTTGGCTCCTGAATACCTTCACCCACTAATATTGCTAGGTCCCCTTTCTAAGTATTGACTTTGTTAAATAGAAGAGATCTGCCGCCCTTTCTTTACCCCCTCCCAGAACTATTGTCTCCACACTCCTTAGAGCCCACTCCAGCTATGACAGCAATGTCAGAGTTTTCAGAATTAAAGTGGGGTACCCTCTGAGGACCCTTAAAATGACAAAATAAGCCAGGGATTTGGGGAGATGGCTGCACCTGCAGAGGGCCTGAGCTTGGTTTCCAGAATCTACACTGGTGGCTCACAACCACATTGGAGGTTCTTTTCTGCACACACACACACACACACACACACACACACACACACACAAAGAAAATAAATCTTCAAAAGTAAACCAGGATAGTGATTTTGAAGAGAAGGTTCTGATGTATTTTGGGTTCTTTGATAATGTTACTGAGGTTCCTTATTTTGGAGTCTTAGTCTTTTTTCTTTCTTTCTTTCTTTTTTTTTTTTTCTTGAGACAGGATTTGTCTGTGTAACAGCTCTGGCTATCCTGGTACTCACACTGTAGACCAGCCCGACCTCAAACTCACAGAGATATGCCTGCCTGGGATCAAAGGTGTGCACCATCACCACCTTAGTCTTCTAAGTAAAATAATTTAGAGACAGACTTGAAAGTTTGAGGACAATTTTATTATTCTTTGAAAGAAAGAAAAACAACAGGGCAGGCAAGCTGTAAATATGAGCAGCTATTGGAAAAGGGAGCTAGAGAAGAGGGAGAGAGAAAACCATGCCAACTGTAAGCAGCCTCATAGCAGAAACCCAGCCACATGGTGCAAGGTGACAATTACAGAGTGTTTAACCCAGTTAGATTAACCCATAAGGGAAATAACAATAAATAGTATGTAATATTCTGCTTTTTGGAGCAATCAGAATGTCATGTCCCCACTCAGGAACAGAGGTTTTCCATTCTTTTTACCAGAATGAAATTGGTTTCCTTTAAAAGGTCTCAATAAAGCCAGGCGGAGGTGGCACACGCCTTTAATCCCAGCACTCTGGAGGCAGAGGCAGGCGGATCTCTGTGAGTTCCAGACCAGCCTGGTCTACAAGAGCTAGTGCCAGGACAGGCTCCAAAGCTACAGAGAAACCTTGTCTCAAAAAACAAAAAAACAAAACAAAACAAAAAAAGGTCTCAACAAAGCCCTGGCATCTTCAATGTCTCCTAAGACGACTATAACACTTCCCCCTCAAATACTAAAATTATTTAGAAGACGAGACTAGATCTCATCCATTCCCACCATTCAAATCCAGAGGTCCAACTCCAGGCTGGTGTGCCAGCAGGGGTATGTTGTGGATTGGAGTTTTGGTCACACTGTCAGGTATATCTCTAGGAAGGGATGCTTATTTAGAGGAAGAGAGAACAAGAAACTGGCCCAGCAACCAGAATTTCCTTTTGGCATCTCTACTCTTTTTTTCTTTAAATAATTTATTTATTCTTATATTATGTGCATTGGTGTTTTGCCTGCATATATGTCTGTGTGAGGGTGTCAGATCTTGGAGTTACAGACAGTTGTTAGCTGCCATATGGGTACTGGGAACTGAACTCAGGTCCTCTGGAAGAGCAGTCAGTACTCTTAACCCCTGAGCCATCTCTCCAGCCTAGTATCTCTACTCTTGATCTAGGACAGGAACAACAACATTATGATTCTGGCCAAGGTCAAGAGAGAAAATATTACTTTGGTGTGTGGGTTTGCTGGTGTCCTGTCCTAAAATTATGGCTTGTTTCTGTTACTGGAGTATTTTGGGAAGTCCTGTCAAAGCTGCTACATGTTACAGGGGAATGTAGGGTTTCCTCCTGGGGTTCTTAGTCTCATTAATGAAAGAATTTAGGAATAGACCCAAAAGGAAGCTCAAGGACTATTTTTGCTAGAGTTTAAAAGGAAATCTCCAGTTTAAAAGGAAATTCTTACAGAGGACTTAGTTTGGGTTTCCAGTATCCACATGGTAGCTCATAGCTGCCTGTGTTTTTGTTTGTTTGTTTGTTTTTGTTGTTGTTTTTTTAGATTTATTTATTAAGTAATAAGTAATGTCTGCATGCATGCCTGCATGCCAGAAGAGGGCACCAGATCTCATTATAGATGGATATAAGCCACCATGTGGTTGCTGGGAGTCGATCTCAGGACCTCTGGAAGAACAGCCAGTGCTCTTAATCTCTGAACCATCTCTAGCCCTCTAGTTTGTTTTTGAGACAGTTTCTCTGTTATGTAGCTCTGGCTGTCCTAGAACTCACTATGTAGATCACACTGGCCTTTAACTCACAGATCTGCCTGCCTCTGCCTCCAGACTGCTGAGATTAAAAGTTTGGGTCACCGTGCCTGGCTTGCTTTACATTTATTTATTTATTTATTTATTTATTTATTTGGTTTTCGAGACAGGGTTTCTCTGTGGCTTTGGAGCCTGTCCTGGAACTAGCTCTGTAGACCAGGCTGGTCTCGAACTCACAGAGATCCGCCTGCCTCTGCCTCCAGAGTGCTGGGATTAAAGGCGTGTGCCACCACCGCCCGGCCTTGCTTTACATTTATACATATAAAATAAATAAGACTGTTTACTAAGTAAGGGGTCTCTTAGTTAAAAGAAATGGGGGGATCTTTATTCCTTCTTCAGAATTAGAAAATTATCTTTAGGCTGAACCATGGGGAACAGAATAGGTCTTTAAGGAAAATGATGTCAAAGAAAAAGGGGAATCCAAGACAGAGGAAATGCTTTTTGAATCGTGAGCCCAAAGAGCTGAAAGCCTAATTACTGGATTTTCCTGAACAGAAAGTTCAGACTTTGGAGCGCCCTTTCAGCAAGGGCAGAGGTCAGTATGTAGAGAAGTTGGTGAGAAAAGTGGGAGCTCCCTTTGAGCTATTGAGCTACCTTTAAAGTCCCTATCAAGTTTTCCCAAACATCGTAATTTTCACTCTTACTGAGTTCATAGTTAAATCAAAAAGGGATGTTTGTCCCTTCCAACCGTGCAAAATAAGTATTCTTGACTTTGGAAGGTATTTTAAACTTCTTTTGAATACTCCAGAAAAAGTTCTGGGCACTTATGTATCAAATATACTCCTTGGTCAAAAGCTTTGTTAAATGTATAAGAACCACCCCTTAAAACAAACATGTCTGTTTCTGTGGCTTTAAATCCATTTAGTTAGTTAAAATTTCAAATACAATGTATCCATCTTGACTGCCTTAAAATATTTAGTCATTCTTGTAGCGAATGTAAAACCTTTTAAACTTAATTCAGAATTGTCAAAATGGGTAGCTGTCACAGAGACTTCTAGCAATGAGACCTCAAATTGTTTACTTTAAATAACGTCCTTATAATGTGCCAGGTGGTACAAGTGTCAAATTTCTCTAACACCTGGATCTGGAGTGAAATGATTTATCTAAGGTTGCAGCTTGCTCACCTATCAGGGTCTCCTAAGCTCCTTTTTACCACTCACTTTCAAGCCTGTGGTTCCCATCCGGCAGCCAATTGGGCCGGTTGGGTGCTGTGCATTCTGGGAGTTGTAGTTTGCAGTTCCCCACGGCCGACTACATGATCTACAGAACGGCTGAGGACGGTTGCCTGGTGCCATTAGCAAGCGGCAAGTATGGCGGTAGCGCGAGCTGACGGAGCTGTGACTCCGGGAGAAGGTAGGATGATCCCCACCACTAAGCTCTAAAGTTTACTTCACTAAGTCATATTAAATAGTTGCTTAGTGTAAAGAGAAAACCTGGGTTTAGACGTGCAGTTTTGGACCAGTTCTTTTGATGCGGGGCTGAAGGCAGCGCGGAGGCGCATTAGCTACTGGGAGTTGTAGTCCCGCTCTCTGGTCCAGTTCGGCATCATTGCGGTGAAGATTGGATGAGGGACTCCAGCCCCCAGGAGCCTTCGCGGTGCCTGGCGCCCCCGTCCCGCGCTCTCCTTAGTCTGACTGGGCAGTGGGCTTCGGACTGCGGCGACCTTTCTGGGACGTTTACTTTGAGTTCCGAGTGTCCATGGAAAATTGGCAGAATCTCTTAATTTCTTGTGCTCCCCCCTCTTCATCAATTCCGAGAACGTTCAGGAAGCATCTTATCTGATACCGCATCATAGTCGCCTGAACTCTTCATTGGAAGTGGCCAGTACCCGTGATAGAATCTGGGGGTGACCCGGACACGCGTTGCTACCCCGTCATTCTGCAGGCCTGGTCCTAGGATCGAGTTTGGGCTTTGTTTGGCCGAGCGCAGGAGAGGGGTGCGCCTATAGCTGGGAGATGCCTCCGTGGGGCGCCGGACCTGAGCTTTTGTTTTGGTTACACTCTGAGGCGTGGTAGCAGCTGGCTGGATTGGGGCAGACTGGGGTAGAGTCGGGGCTCATAACCTGGGGATCCTGATCAGATTCTTGAGGGGAGGAGTTCGGCTAAAAGGTGTGTCGACCCAAAGGAATTGTATGCGAACGCGCGGCGCGCTTTTCTAGTTTTCATCCATCAAGAAGGGGCTCATGACACCTCTCGTGCTAAGAAAACCGAAAAACATTGAAACCGTCTAGGAGAGCTGTCCCGAGAAATTATTTCCCAGGGAAGTCCCAGTCTGCTGGTAAATTTGAAATTGGCAGTTAGTTTGGCCCCGCCCCCTATGCCTATGATAGTTACTTTTCCTAAACCTCTCTAGCACTCCAAGACAACAGACAGGAGTAGCAGTTGGCATTTGCAGAGCCACTTTTTAAAAGCCAGATGATATTTTGGGCAACTTTCTTATATTATTTCACTTTTTTTTTTTTTTTTTTTTTNCTCATTTTGTATTTGTGTCTGGCCTAAAAGTCATTGAAATCCTCCTGCCTTTGTCTTTCAGTGCTAAGATTAAAGATGTGTACTACCAGAAGTGGCTCAGTCTTACCCCCCCCCTTTTTTTTTTTTGATTTTTCGAGACGATTTCTCTGTGTAGCCCCTGACCTAAAACATGCTCTGTAGACTAGGCTGGTTTCGAACTCAAAGTCTCCCAAGTGCTGGGCTTAAAGCTGTGCACCACCACTGTACGGCTTTTTTGTTTTGTTTTCTTTTCAAGAAAAGTTTTCACTATGTATCTTCTCTCTGCCTGGAACTCATTATATAGATAGGCTGGCCTCAAACTCAACGGATATCCGCCTGCCTCTGCCTCCTGAGTACTGAATTAAAGGTGTGCACCACTATGCCTGGTTGTCGTTCACAACTTATAGAGTAGGAAAGTTAACTCAGCCATTTGCACATACAGAGGAAAGATGCTGGCGGGCACAGTGAGGGGGCAGCCAGCCTCTTGGAGAGAGGTCTCAGTTATCAAACCTGCCAACACCTTAATTTGGGGGGTTTTCAGACTGAAAAAATGATGGAGAAAAAGAGAAGGAGACTTGTCCATAGTGGTTAACCAGGGGAGCTATAGTCCGAAACCATATTTTATTGAGTGTTGTCTGCCAGGTCTGAGGCTAAGTACAACTTATTTGGCTTCTTTACACCAAGCTTGTGAAATCAGAGAATCATTTTATTCTATTGATTAGTTAACTATACTGTGACTTTAAAAATACTTGGAAGTGACTGGAGTGATAATTTAGTTGGTGCAGTGCTTGTGCAAGAGTGAGGACCCAAGTTCAGTCCTCCCAATCCAAGGGGAATGTGGAGTTTGGTGCCTGGAGCTTGTAATCTCAGTGCTGGGAAGGTGGATACAGGCAGACCCTTGGGGCTCGCTGGCCAACCAGTCTACTCTGTTTGATGAGTTCCAGGCCAGGGAGAAACCCTGCCTCGAAAAACAAAGTGAGGGCTGTAGAGCTGGCTCAGTGGGCATGAGCACTTGCCTTGAAAGCTTGAGGGCTGGAGTTGAAATTCCTGTGGAAAGCCCCCAATGCCGGTAGCCCTAGTGGTGCCTGCAATGCTGTGGAGCCTTGCTGACTTCCAGGTTCAGTGAGAGAGTGACAGAGCAGGACACCCAGCATTTTCTTCAGGCCTTCTTGGGCATGCATGATGTGCCCCCCCAACTCCTCTCCTGTCACACACTACTTTGGGCACTTGAAGATATACTTGTAGTTATAAAGAGTTGGATCTCTATAAAAAATTTTAGTTCTAGGGTCTGATGTTGTGATAGCTATAATCCCAGCACTTGGGAAGTGGAGGACCCATCAAGAGTTCAAGTCCAGCCTTAGACACATAGAGTTTATGCTAGCCTGGTCAGCTTCAGACCCTGTCTTGAATCAAACAAAAGAAAACAACAGCAAAAGAAAAACAACCCAAAACAAAGAAAAAGTTTGAAGGATAAGAAAGGGGAAAATAAGATATATAAAGAATTAAAACCCAGATAATAAAACCGAAAAACTCAAAAAAGAAACTTAAGCCCTAATTTTATTTTATTTTATTTTTTGGTTTTTCGAGACAGGGCTTCTCTGTAGCTTTGGAGCCTGTCCTGGAACTCCCTTTGTAGATTAGGCTGGCCTCGAACTCACAGAGATCCTCCTGCCTCTGCCTCCCAAGTGCTGGGATTAAAGGCGTGCTCCACCACCGCCCGGCAAGCCCTAATTTTAAAATACTGTTGCTGGGTATAAAATAGGGGAACCCAGGGCCTTGCATGCTAGGCAAAGGCTTTGCTTCTGCACTATACCCCAGCCTGTAACTTGTAAATTCTGAGGAAACGTGTATCGTTACAGCTCTAGATTGCTATCATTTTAAATTCTTATATTTATTGTGCATTGATGTATTTTAAAATATGTATGCACATTTTTTTCAGTGTAAAATGCTAAGCTCAGCTGTCATATTTGCTTTCTAACAAGTTGTCTTCTCTTTTTAAGGATCAGTGGTGAACTGGTCAGGGCAGGGACTACAGAAATTAGGTCCCAACTTGCCCTGTGAAGCTGATGTTCACACATTGATTCTGGATAAAAATCAGATTATTAAACTGGAAAATCTAGAGAAATGCAAACAGTTAATACAGGTGGGTATGAGTTACATAAGACTAATTTATTACTAAACAGAACCAAAAAGTTATTCTACATGTGTTGAAAGCGGTAAATGTTGCCTTAAAATTTTATATGCTAGCTTCTGAAGATGAATATACATACATACATATATATGTATATATATATATATATATATATATATATATATATATTGCATTTATAGTGGTCTAGAAAAACAGTGTTAAAAAGTGGAAATAGGGCCAGGAAGATGGCTCAGTAGGTAGGAGGGGTTGTGCAGAGGCCTAAAGTTTGATCTGTGTGTGCCCCAAGGCAGGAGAGAACTGACTTCTGAGAGTATGCTGCTGACATTTGATTGTGTGCCTGCTTCAGAGTGCCTGCAAGTGTGCTACTTGCTCTCTCTCTCTCTCTCTCTCTCTCAAGTTTATCTTGTTTATTTGCTTTATTTATGTTTATTTGTGCATATCTATATGAATGTTTGCCATATGTGTATGACATGAGTACATGTGGAGGCCGGGAGAGGGGTCAGATCCCCTGGACCTGGAGGGTGGCTATACACGTGGTTGTGAGCCACCTGACTTGGGTCTAGGAACTGAACTCTGATCCTCTGGAAAGATAGCAAGTGCCATCTTTCTAGTCCCATAAATAAATATATGTATATTTAAAGAGAACATTATATGTTGACAAAATATTGTGCTAACATAATTTCTACTTCATATTGGGGGTAAAGAGTTTATTCATCCAAGAATGTTGGGGTTGGATGTGTTGAGTGCTGAGTACACGCTTAGCGTACTCAGAGCCCTAAGCTTAGTCGTCAGTACTCTACCAAAACTAGGAAATAAACGAGAAGTGTTTATTTAGTATACCTAATGTTATGAAGACATTTTTTGTGGAGCTTATATATATGAAACAGTGAGTTCCTGGGCACCCAGGGCTACACAGAGAAGCCCTGTCTTGAAAAAACAAAAGAAAAACAAAACGAAACAAAAACCACAACAGCCATGTCATACCTAGAAGTCAATATTCCATGGTTTTCCCCTTTTCCCTGTTCTTACGTTCTTTCTACCCCTTCTCCTACCGCACTCCTGGAGCCCTGGAAGGGATGTTACAAACGTCTTACTTCCGGCTGGGCACGTAGCGGCTATTTGTTTCCTGCACTTGGATCAGCTGAGTCTCTGCAGTTGCCACTAATCTCCGAATAGAGCTGACAGCACTAAATAGATGACCCTGTTCTGTGCTGTGCATGCAGCTCTTTAGAAGGCAATTTGATGTGAATATTATGTCCTCTTAGCAAAAGTCATCAGTCTCTTCTTCGCTAGGCTATGTCATCTCCAGCCACGGGTTTTTGGCTGGGTTTACAGTAACACACGTGAATTCCTTCCTGTGGAGCAGGCATCAGTTGGTTACCCCATAACAGACTTAACCTATACTTTTTGTTGATTAGAAGAACAAACTCCAGTAGTTACTGTAGGTGTAGATGTAAATAATATGTGTAAAAAATAGGTGTGTGTGTGTGTGTGTGTGTGTGTCTATTTGGGTAATGTCTGGCCATCTACCATAGTGTAAAAGTAATATGTGTGGACATATATATATTTGTTTCTAGAAATAATAATGTTCCCTTTCCATAGTTGTCAGTGGCTAATAATCGGCTGGTTCGGATGATGGGCGTGGCCAAACTTACTCAACTCCGGGTGTTAAATTTACCTCATAATAGTATTGGCTGCGTGGAAGGACTGAAGGACCTAGTCCACTTGGAATGGCTGAATTTAGCAGGAAATAATCTGAAGGTGAATGTTTTTTTTTTCTTGGTAATTAACTTGATTTTTTTTTTCATAGCAAATCTGTTCTCTGTGAAAAAGAAACATGGCAACTATAGAAATAAATAGACTAAAAAATGAAAATATCTACTTCTACAATCTGTATTAACATAAACTTTAAAAAGCCTCCATTATGAACATATACCATAGTATAGTATTTTTTCAAATGTGAACAGAGAATCTATATTATACTTGAAAAAAGTAAATCGAATACTAGAGTCATGAGGAAAGAGATTTTTTTCCCACTGAGTTAAACTTTTAAGTAAAAATTTAATGGTATCTGGAATTTTTTTTTAAGTCAATAGATCTGTATTCTATCTTTCCTACTTTGTACACAGGGATATATAATTTTGGACAAATTAGCAAACATTTCTGCATCTGTTTTCTGATGTGCCAGGTAAGGGGACTAGAGTAAATGATAAAAACTGTTGCCTTTACTGAGCAGCTACCTGCTGCTAGGTACTTTCCTAAGGGTCTCCAGTGAGCGCGTGTCAGCCTGCGAGTTGTCAGGCTTATGTAGATAGGGAAACTGAAGCACAGAGAAGCTAATGCTTGTTCCAATTCATACATCCAAGAAATTGCAGGACCTAAAATTAAAAATCTATGTATATATTTTTACTTCATTCTTGAAGAATTTCACACACCATGCAGCATATTTTGATTATATTCATCTACCACGCCTTCCCTAACTTTCCAGATCCATCCCCACTGCCTTACTCAACTTGATTTCCTCTCTTTGTATGTATTTTTCTAAAAAATAACCCACTGAATCGAATTTATGCTGTCTATGTCTTCTGGGTGTGGTGCCGTCCTCTGGATGTGGTTGACTTACTAGGAGTCATACTCTTAGGGACAGCTGAGTGTCCCTTTCTCAGAAGCCACTAACTGAATGTTTTCTTTGCTTAGGGAGGGGGACTTGATGGGGGAGGGGGAGGGAAATGGGAGGCAGCGGTGGGGAAGAGATAGAAATCTTTAATAAATAAATAAATAAATAAATAAATAAATAAATAAATAACTCAGAAAAAAAAAAAGAAGCCACTAACTGTCTGTAGGTCCTCGGGGGTGGGGCTCGGAAGCCTTCTCCCTCTGTGCTAAACTGCTAACTGGCTTGCTCTTGTGCAGGTCATGACCTCGGCTGCTGTGAGCTCAGGAGTGCCATGGTCCCATAATGCCTAGAAGACATTGCCTTGACTCTGGTTCTCCCTGACCATGGAGCCAGGATTTAATAGACTGTGTGGCTTCATTCTAAATTTGTGAATTCTTTTTCTGCTCACAGCTCGATGCTGTTGAAGTTTCTTTGGGCTCTAAATATCTGAGATGGCATGAACTGCTTGGTGTCCTTGAAAGCTTGCTTCTTTCTGAATTTTGCTCTCCCTTTCCCCCTTTGTCTCGCTCAGCTCTGCTGCTGTGCATTTAGTGACAAGAGGAGGCGGGGGCTCAGCTGCGAAGAATTAGGGAATGCTTTTGATTTTCGATTTTATGTGCACGGACTGATGTGATGCTTTTCTTGTAATAGACCATGGAGCAAATCAATAGCTGCACAGCGCTACAGCACCTGGACTTGTCGGACAATAGCATACCCCAGATAGGTGACCTGTCAAAACTGGTGTCTTTGAAGGTAAGGGGTCTTCTGTCACCTCTTAAAAACGATCACAAATAAAAAAAATCACTAAAGATGTGGTCTCATTGGCATAAACTCAGCCTGCCATATATTGTGTATTAAGAATGCCCCCCCCCCCTTTTGAAGGAGTCTCCCAGTAAAGCCTAGGCTCACCTCTCAGGGCCACCAAGCGCTTTCTTAATTTTTCCAAAGTACTGGAATTACAGCTGTTTGCCAATATGCTTGCCTGGTTGATTTTGTTGTAAAAACTTAGGAACTATTTTTCCCTTTCTCTTTTTGGAAACAAAGTCTAACTGTATTGCCTTGGTTATTTCTGGAACTCCTGAGTGCAAGAGTATGTACTCTTGAGGCGCAAGAGCGCTTAGGTCATCCCAAATTGATTGTTAGTTCCTATAAGTGATTTATTTTATATGAAAGTAGTCATTGTAGTTAGTTATTTCTTATTTCCCATCCTCTGAATGTGATGAATTTAGCTAATGCTAGGGACTTTAATATATATATAT